CCCCCCCCCCCGGGTGGGGGGGGGGGGGGGGGGGCGTGACAACAATTTTGTAATTTAATTCATCTAGATATATAGTGAGTTTTTATGAAAATGTATATTTTATGTACAACTGAGAAAGAGTACGTAAAACATAAGAGGATTTGACCATCAACATAGTATGATATCAAAATCACCAAAATGTTTAAATAAATTAAATTAAATTAATATTGATGCAATCATGATTCCCAGCATTTTCATAATCATTGTTTTATTCTTGTTTTGCATTTCAAAAAAAAAATTCTTTTTACTTTATTATTTTTAAATTTTGTTGTTTTAAATTTTAATTTTGTAAAATTATTCAAAATTTATCTTTTCGATTACTCAAATAAAATTATAATTATCCAATTTTAGTACTTAATGAATATGTTATCCTCGTGGGAACGATACTTTTAAATTTACTCTTTATTATTTATTAACAATATCATGCACTTGCGATTGACACCACAACACTTGTTTTCCTCCTAATGTTTTATCAAGATGAAGATTGGAATATTGAATTAAGCACTTTTTTTTTCATCTATCAGATTTTTCTCATTACGTTTTAATGATAAAAGATCTTAATGAGGTGCCTCTTCTCTTCTCTGTATTAAAAAGCTAGATCTTTCATTATTCTGGATGTTTTTTTTTTTCTTTAATCTGTCTTTCCTTTTTATTGTTTAGGTTTTTTCACTTTTTGGTGGTTGATTTTTTTCTTCGGTTTGTAATTTTTATGTAATCCTCTTGGCTTATTTTGGTTATTTGTTCTTCTTGTATTCTCTTTCATTTCTAATAAGGTCACCATTTATTTTCTCTTCTTTCTTTTCTTTCTTTTCTTTCTTTTAATTGTGTTGCTTTCGACCTTGCATTTTCGGTGTGTTTGCATACTTGTTCCCTTGTTTATATATCCTTGCGGAATAATCACAATTTTATACTCCGCATTTTGAGTTTATCAAATAAGTAATCATATATTTTGGATGTTCTCAAATTTATATCTCTAAATATCAAATCCATACTAAATATATAACTAATCTTTTAGGTGAATAGTTGATTTTGACATTTGAATTGACAAATTTACCCTTTCTAGCTATATAGATACACTTAGAAGGAAAAACTAATTAACAAATTACATTACCCTTTACATCTTAGCTTGAAAATACAATTCTTATGATTTTTTCTTTGTTATTTTAAGGATATATATAAGGCCTGATTGTTACAACATCATTTATAAGCTGCAAAAGTTAAATTTGCCAACTCAAGGGTCAACGTCAGTTGTTGATCCAGAAAATGTATAAATTAACATGAAGGTTGAATTTAAGATTACAATGTTGAGAATATCCAAAACACAGTGGTTTTTTTATTATTATTTTTTTTTAATAAATTCAAAATATGAGGTATAAAATAGAAAATAACCCTTTTATTGTTTGAGTACTTGTTTGCTAATATAATTGTTCAAGTGCTTTCTTTGGTTGAGTTGCTTTTGGTTTTTCCCTCCGTATGAATGAATACAACTTATACGGGGAATTAAAAAAAAAAAAAAGCAAAGTAGTACTACTTTTTACGATTGGCAGATTCATAGCCGCAAAAGAAGATTAAAGTTGAATCCAAGTAAATTATAACTTTAAATATAAATTTTAATCCAGTAAATTAATCATTTATTCACACTAATAAAAGTAAGTTTCTCTAGAATTGAACCCTTTTAACATGATCACTTTTTTGAAACATGATTTCAAAATTCGCGTAAATTAACCAATAAAATTTTAAAAATGAAACAAGAGATCAAGAAAGAATAGGCATGTTTTCGGTCCCGTTCATTTTACCAATTAGAATTCAGAATTTGAGTTTTACTACAGTAAAAAGTTCTCAGAAACAGTCACATCTAATTTTTTTATTACAGTAAAAAATTCTCATATAAAGTCATATTTTAACTCAAATTAAAAACTCGAATCAACGAACTAAACGGGTCTTTTACGCCATGTGATTGGATTTTACATGAACGATAAAAGAGAATCTACAAATGAAAGGTACAAGAAGGTGAATAAAATTTATGGGTAGCATTCCATGTTTGTAGTTGTAGGTTTGGATTCTTTGGACGTACCATGTTTTTTTCTTCTAAAACCCTAGTCTAATCCAGCATCTTATTGACACGTGTACAGAATGCATGTGACACGTGTCCACATATTCTTGAACGGTTTATTGTGGGCTCATCATCTCTGAATACAAACAACAGAGAGCTCACGGGCAAGACATAACCCTCGTTCACGAGAGTATCAAAACCCCTTCAATCATATATTTCACCAACAACTATATATATATATATATATATGTATGTATATTATATGTGTGTGTATATTATTCTACACCAACAATGCCATGCAAAACCAGCCCCAAATCCCACGTTCTCACTCCCCATCAAAGCGTTTCTTCATCACCCACCAACCGAAACCATCCAAAAAACAACATAAGAAATGAAACAATGAGATCGTCACCACCAAATTCTTAAATGGCGCGTAAGCGGCCATTCTCGGACAACAGAATTTTTTGCACTAGGACACTTTGAATTTGTGTATAGGCAACTTAGTTCTGACATGTTTCAGTTTTGGTAATCGGACCCTTAACTTTAAAATTCTGTTGTTATTGTGGCATCAAAAAAATAAATAGAAATACTAAAAAAAATTTACACTAATATATTCAAAACTTTTGATTAGTTTACAGGTTGGATTTTGATCTTTTTAATTTTAACATTTGAAATGTTTATTGCCGTTCATTAAATAATTATTTTTTTATTGTTAAGAAAATGTCTGAAAAGAGGTGATCAACGTTAGCACATTTTTTATATGCGTCTCACTAAAAAGACTTCACTGACAAATAGACCTTACAATCAGGTGCTACCCTTTTACGAGGAACGCGTCACCCTAACTAATTAGTATTGGGTTGATAGTCACAAACCTTAACATTAATTAATTAGTGTTCATTTTCGATTAAATTGCACTTTCAATAGTTACCAAACTCCTCTTTAGGGTATTAAATATAAAAAATTAAACGTTATAAATCCAACTTATAAATAACGAAAAATTCAAGGGGCAATGATGCAAAAATTACCCCACCAAAACCCCTTTTCTCTGAAGCTGGCCCTATATAACAGCCCCACTCGTTTCCCATTGAAAGCCAGTCGTCAGAAAAATCACAATCCCCAAAAATGGCCAAACCCCATTTGCCAATATTACTCCTAGTCCTAGCTCTTCTCACAGCTCTCACATGTGGCAGCAATAATGCTTCTCAAATTGACAATAAACCAGCCAAAACTACGCAGCTCCAGAAACCATCAGCCGATAACGAGACCATATATCGCGTGTCAAAGCAGCTATGTTGGGGCTGCATAGGCGAGTCACTCCAATTCCTGTTCGCCCAAAACATGGCGCGCGCGGCCAAGTGGGAGCTGCCGCTCACATGGGACTTCCAGCTCGAGAGGTACGCGCGCTGGTGGGCGGAGATAAGGAAATCCGACTGCAAGCTGCAGCATTCTTTCCCCGAGGGCGGTTTCAAGCTCGGAGAGAACATATTCTGGGGCAGCGGCGGAGCGTGGACGCCTGGTGATGCCGTCAAAGCGTGGACCGACGAGGAGAAGTACTACTCCTACGCGACCAACACCTGCGTGGAGGGCCAGATGTGCGGCCACTACACGCAGATTGTGTGGCGGAGTACTAGGAGGGTTGGATGTGCTAGGGTTGTTTGTGAGGATGGAGATGTGTTCATGACTTGTAACTATGATCCGCCGGGAAACTATATTGGCGAGAGGCCGTATTAAGAACGCTATTTATCATTATTGGTGATACAATACAATGTATTTAATACGAGTAAAGAATGTTATAGTTTACTATTTGGTTTGCTTTTATTGATATTAGAATTTGGGATATATATATTTCTAGGTTTTTTTTTTTTTTTTTTTTTTTTTTTTTTTTTTTTTTTTTTTTTTTTTTAAGTGGGTTTTTCTTTTTTTGGTTTTTTTTTTTTTTTTTTTTTTTTCTATTTCTAGAATGGGTTGTCATGTGTTTGGTTCGGGTTGGATGTCTAGTCTAACGATAAAATCATGCCCCCATTTAGAATATTAAGAGTTAGAGTTGAAATTTTATATATCTTGGGCTCGGTGGAATTTTGTATTTAAAAGTGTTTAAGGCAATACACTGAGTTGATGGTATGATTAATATAAAGACATATATTATGTACCTACCGAATATTAGTAATCTTGTAAGGCTCTCAATTATGTGTGTATACTTCTTGGTTTTTTTTATTTTTATTTTTTATTTTTTATTTTTAATTTTATGGCACTTCATTGGTCTTGTGAGTACAAATTTATGTATGTACCTACCGAATATTGTGAGAAAAGAATTTCTATGTTTTTTCCTCTGAATTAATATTGTGAAGAGATTGTATTACTTTATCTTACATGTGTTACTTGTTAGAAGAATCTCTTGGGATTAATCCTCCAGGTTGTCTAGATTAATAAAGCAACTTTCCGCAGACAATATGTAGAGTGACACTAAATATGCTTTTTGATTTTTGCAACGCAAATGAAATATTAAATTCAAGTAATGTGAGGTGGAAAATGAGCACAATATTATAAAGGGAAACAAATAAAAACAAAAGAGAATTTTGTGGTGCTGGATTTTTTTTTTTCTTTTTTAAGAGCGTACTGTATATTTAGTAGTTATAATATATCATGATAATCAAAACAAACAAAAACAAAAGAGAAGTTTGCTTGCTGGATAATTATTACCTATATTATGATAATCAGATTACGACCAATAATATTAACCAGTTTACAAAATATTTTTATTAAAATGATTAATTTGCACCTTAGAGGAAAATAAGAACAATAACATTATATATGTGTAACATCGTAGTTTGATTCAAGCAATTTTTCTTTTTTTCTGCTAATCGTTTTTATCCAAGCTCGAATTTATTCATTCCTGACCATATAGACTTTGGGCATATCCTTTTTATGTGCCTCACATCACACAAGTCCACTGACCTTCCAACACTTTTTTTTTATTTTTTATTTTTAAAATGGAGTTCCTTTTTATTTATACTCCTTAACATTAGTCTATATATTTCTATCTTTTAGATTAGAACTAATTAATGGATAAAATTTTTCAAAATGAATAATTTTAATAAATTAAGTACTTAAAAAGATAGAATATGTAATTTTCTTTTAGTGAAAATTGCAACTTTCATTGTCTTAAAACTCTACAAGATCACATGGGTACAGTAAATTTATAAAATTTTTCAGAAAAGAAAAAAACTTAATTGGGTACTCCTTTCCTCATTTTTGCCTTTTTAAAATTAAACCGTACTTGATAAACATGTGAATTTAGAAGTTGAAAAAGAAGCTGACTTTACAAATCAAGTTTCTTTCACAACTTCTAACGTAAGTAATATTCACAATCTCAGGCCCATATCATTCGCATGCTATAAAACTCCCCTTATTATGACACATTATCAGAATTCTACTATAGACTATTGAAAAAAAAAAAAAAAAAAAAACACAGAGAAAAACAAACTTCTCGATTGGGATACAGGGTTCATTTTGAACGTTAGATCTGCATCATATTTGTATATCTTTTTATTTAAACGTGAATTTAATCAGATGTAATGTTCATAAACATAATTATGGATAAAACATTGGAATAAAAAAAACCTCCTAACACATAATATGATAAAATACGTGATACGTAATATAACAATGTGTGTATATATATATATATATATGTTTATATAAATATAATGTATACATGTAATTCAGTAAGGCCTCTCGCCAACATAATTCCCCGGAGGGTCATAGTTGCAAGTCATGAACACACCCTTACCACCAAAGCAAGTCACTCTGGCGCACCCGATCTTCCGCGTTTCGCGCCACACGATCTGCGTGTAGTGGCCGCAGACCTCACCACCGGCGCAGGAGTTGGACCAGTATCGGTACCACCTCTGCTCGGCTACCCACGCCTCCGCCGCCTGCGCCGGGGTCCACCCCTCGCCGCTCCCCCAGAATATGTTCTCCCCGTACGGCCCGTTGGAATGCACCAGCGCGCAGTCGTACCGCCTCTTGTCCGCGTACCACCGCGCGTACTTCTCCAGCCGCGGGTCCCACACCAGCGGCCTCATCCTCAGCGCCTTCCTCACGGCATTCTGTGGGCCCAGGAACTGGGTTTTCGTGCCCAGAAACTGGATTGAAGTGCTTCCTGTCAGGGCATTTGAGGTTGCTGTGAACAACAGCAGGAGGAGAACAAAAATGGTTAGAAACTGCATTTTTTTTGGGATTTTTTTTTTGCAGGTTACGTGTTTGCGAAAATGTGGCAGAGAGTTTATATTTGAAATGAGGGATTGGGGTTGGTTGGGATAAAGAGTCAAAATGTGGGGTGGCACCCATGTTCGATAATGATTGCCACATTTGTATTTGTTTTTGTTGGGGGACAAATGTTTTCAGGCCTAAATTATATGGTTCTAAGGATATTCATAATTCTTTCTTGAGTGGCTCAATTTTTTTTTTTAATTTTTTTTAAAGAGATTTCTATGGTAGGTCGAAAAGTGGGTTTTTTTTTTTTTTAATGGACGCTCTATAAACTTTTCACTGAACTTTTTGAATTTGACAATTTAGTCTTTAATTTTTTTTTTGTTGGCAATTAATTCCTTCAATTTGAAAATTTTGACAATTAAGGCCCTTTTAATAACGTATGTTAATTTTTAAACAGAAATTGGCATGTGATTTGGACATGAGTTTTTTTAAAGGGTAGTGGTTGTCATTTTCAACACCAAATTAAACAAAAACTTAAAAGCAACCAAAAAAAAAAAAAGAAAAAGAAAAAACACTTAAGGTAAAAGGAAAAAACCAGACTTGGGAATCTTTTTATTATCAGATAAAATGAAAATTACCTTTTCATCATCCGCAGTAACAAATACCTAAAGAACAGTGAAACCAAAATAAGAAATAAATGTTGTGTTTGGAATTGTTATTGGTTTTGTTTTTCACGTTTTCTAAGAAAAAAAATAAAAATGATTTTAATACGACGTTTGACATAATTAAAGATAAAAAACAGAAATAAAAACGATTTTTAAGTTTAGTGTAAAATAGAAGAGAAATAAAAAATGACATTTAGTCATCTTTCGTTTTTTATTTTTATTTTCTCCACTCTCGAGCAGAGAGAAAGATACATTAATGAGTTTTTATACTAAAAAATATCTCTTTATAAAATTACCAAACACATTTTTAAAAATGATTTCTGTCTGAGATTGAAAACGTTTTCATTTTCATTTTCATATGAAATATAAAAGTATTTTGAAACGAGTTCTAAACGCACCTAGAGAGATTGAGATTTAAACATAAAATCTTAAATAAAAAGGACCGGTAATCTCCTTCTCCTTTTCAACCTAGAAAATTTCAATGTCTTAGATAATATCTGAAGCTAGAAAAATAGATCAATTAAGAGCCCGTTTAGTTGGAGGATTCGTTCTCTGATTCGAATCATGGTTCATGGTTCGCTACAGTATTTTCTCTCACAAAAAATACACGTAAATTAAAAATGGTTCTAATCTCATAATTTTAATCCATGAATTAAACGGGCTCTAAGACTTAGAGCAGATGTTGTCGGAGAAAGGCCGGCTCATCAGCACACGGCGGATGCTCGACGGCGCTGTGAAGTGAACCTTTCGGTTCTAATCTTTTGTGGGTCTGGGTATTGTGTTTTATCTTTTTTTTTTTTTGGCTGCTTTCCAGGGTTTGTTCATTTTGATGTAGAAAATGACAACCACTGCCCTTTAAAAAAGGTCATGCGCAAATCACATGCCAAATTCCGTTTAAAACTTAACAGACGTTAGTAAAAGGGCTTTAATTGCTAAAATTTTCAAATTGTAAAGATTGATTGTCAAGAAAAAAAAATTAGAGACTAAATTATTAAATTTAAAAAATTTAAGGGACATTCGTACAAAAAAGGCCTTGAAAATATAAATTTTTATTTTACATATATATTTTTTATTTTAATGTAATTTTAATTAAATTTAATAATAAAAAATGTATGCTATCCGTATTAGATTCTACTGTAAAATGATTTTTTTAATAATTTTTGGAGGAAAATTTGGATGTATTGAAAAAAGCACAAGTGCGAATAGAAAAAAGCATTTCCTAAAAAGAAAAGAAATAAAAAAAGGAAAAACCATTAAAGTAGGAGCAAAGCTAGGCTGTCCTGAATTTAGGGTGGATTGAATAATAATGATTTCTTTATCCTACTACAATTAGTTCCTTCTGACTTTGTTAACCGACGAAGTACTTTGGCGCTATAAATAAAATTAACAAATTTTGAGTACATTTCATTGCACTATATTCGCACGATATCAAATATAAATATTGCTTCATATTCGGTCAATCTAGTGAGATGCGCTACGCAGCTCTTATATATGATCTCAGTGAATATATATATATATATATATATATATATAGCTTATGTATGCCAAGCTAGAATCGCCAATATTAATTAATTTAATTGCGGGAATTTCAAAATTTGCAAGAGATAAATATCATAATACAATATTACACTTGACAAGATATTCATAAATACTAGCCATTCGTGGCGATAAATTAACAATTCAAAAATATTGACCGTGTTTATAATTAATCTTGTTCTTTGTTTTTTTCACGTTTTTTAAGAAATAAAAAATGAAAACGTTTTTAAAACGGTGTTTGGCGTAATAAAGACAAAAAACAGAAATGAAAACGATTTTTTTAGTTTAGTGTAAAATAAAAGAAAAATGAAAAACGACGTTTAGTCGTTTTTTATTTTTTGTTTTCGTTTTCTCCTCTATCGAGTAAGAGAGAGAAAGAGATACATTAATGATTTTTTTGCACTGAAAATAATCTCTTGATAAAACTACCAAACGTATTTTCAAAAATAATTTCTGTCTGAGATTGAAAACGTTTTTATTTTCATTTTCATATAGAAAACAAAATTATTTTAGAACGAGTTCCAAACGCGCCCATTGTTTTGCATAATCTCGGTAAACCAATGTTTATGTATCACACCCCATTCTTTTATTAGTCCCCAATGAAAAAAAAATTCTGGCTCCGATTCAATTAATTATTTCAAGTAAACTATTAATGGTGTTTCCGCTTTAATGTATACAACTTTTATAATAACAAAACTAAGTTTAATACTTTCCAAATGTCTACCATCACTCGCCAAAGTCAAATTTTGACATTCAAAATATATTTCTCTTTTAAGTATTCTATATGGAGAAAATATGTAATACTGAACAGCACAAATAATTATTGTCTAACGAATTAGAAAGGATAAATAATATATATATATATATATATATATATATAAACATAAAAATGGAGAATGAAGACATATATAATCTACACCCCATTGATATTTTTATTTACTTTTTCTTTCTTTTTCCACCTTTTCCCTAAAAATGGGGTACCATGCATAATAATCAATAAATAGCCTAACTAGTTAGGTCAGGATGTTATATATTCATTGTATTAATGGTTTTAATAGAAAGCCAAATATTTCACAATAATTACATAGCAATATGAATAGTTTTATCATTTATCAAAAGTTTATTGATATGTGTATTACGTGTTTATTAAGTTGTTATCTTTTATTAATATATGTAATATTTTATTATTAATTGACATGACAATCTTTTAAACACCGTAACCTAATAAATTTAGAATTAAAATTTTGTTCCTAACATTATTGTTTTATTAAATATTACTATTAATGGTTGCTTAAAGTCAACATAGAGAATTATGGTGCTCCTTTATTATAATATTAATCCACGGGAGTTTGAAAATACAACCTCAATCAGCGGAGACGCATGCCAAGTTTAATACCGCCACCATCAACGCCATTAATCTAGCTACCTCTCTCTTTAGGTTTGTAAATGAATGTTTTCTTCGTTTCTTCCAAAGCAAAAACGAAATCGTATGTGATAGAAATTGTAACAATTAAAATTGATCTTGAAATACAAATTAAGCGAAAAAAAAAAAACCATAACAATTAAAATTGATCTTGAAATACAAATTAAACGAGAAAAAAACCATACTTTGATGTTTATAGCTAGTAATCAATCTTGATGGGTGATTTGGGCCCGTTTAGTTCGCTGATTCGAGTTTTTAATTCGAGTTAAGATGTGATGTTATGTGGGAGCTTTTTACTGTAGCAAAAAAGTTAGATGTGACTGTTTCTGAGAGCTTTTTACTGTAACAAAACTTGAATTCTAAACTCGAATCGGCGAAGTAAATGGAGCCTTAGTAGGTATTTGAGTTGTTTTCAGTGTATTTTGTTAGTCCGGGTTCAAGTCGAGAAAGTTGTTTTCAGTGTATTGAGGTATTGAGGAACTTCACCTTTCCATCCATTATATTGACTTTAATTATCTTAAAAAAAAAAAAAAAAAAAAAAAAAAAAAAAAAAAAAAATTTTTTCTTTTATAATTGAATGTCATGGTTTCCCGCATCAATAAATTGTGCAGACAAAAATACTGCTAATACTTTTTAAAATGATCTTTACGTTTTTTTTTTTTAAAATCTCGCTTAACATTTTATTTTCCTGCCGCGCCTGCACCATGCTTGCCAAAATTCTAATTACTCCATAACGGTGGTTTAGAGAAATGTCGTTTTTTTTTTTTTTTTTGGGTAATATTTATATATGCAAGTATACTAGCCTTTATGATATTTCAATTTTCTGTTCGACTAGTCCAATTATTAAAAAAAAAAAAAAAAAACAAAAACTGTTAGGCCAGTGAGCGCCTACTGTATCGTGGTATAACATTCGCATTTTTTATATATCATGTGCTAGAATGGTGTGGAGATCAGATTTGAAACGAACAAAGTGATGACATTTTGAGCAAAGATCGAACAGTCAAGAAGAACAAATTAAGAATGATCCAACGACCCAGATTCAATTAACAAGAAGTTCCTGCAAAAGCCTAGGTAGCGAAGAGAACAACAGAGGAAGGAACTTTTTTCCTTTTCAGACATCGAGACTCCGATTCATTCGAGACCGACCCACGCCTGAAAACCAATTAGTTTTCTAGTTTGATCCGAGAGTTGGCCTCGTTCAGTTCGTGAATTTGAGTTAAAATGTGATTTTATGTGAGAATTTTTCACTGTAACAAAAAAAGTTAGATGCTGACTTTTTATGAGAACTTTTAACTGTAACAAAACTGGAATTAAAAATTCAAATTGGTAAAATGAACGAGTCTTAGTGAGAATTTAAGAGGGAAATTAAAAAAAATGGAGACTTTATAGTTGATTTGGAGCTAAGGGAAATTAAAGTCACTCCGACATGTGGTATTTTTTGCAAGTTTTTTTTTTTTTTTTTTTTTTTTTTTAATCTCCTTAAGACGAAATCATTCTTATCTAGACTTAACTGATTGGAGACGAGTATACTCCTTAAGACGAGTATGGTACAGAAGTTCAGTCATGTAATTTTTTTTCTTACTC